ATTCGAATGGAGGGAGGTAGATCGGCGAGCTTGGCGACGTTAAGCTGCAGCAAGGAGAGGTGGCGAAGTGGCGGTGGCGCGCGGCTCTACTGCTTTGCCTCTATCTCGCCAAGAACGCAGGTGCAAAGAGACTAGAACGAAAGAAGAAAGGAAGAAGGAAGAAAGGAGAAGAAGAAGAAAGAGGAGGAGGAAGAGGTGGCAGTGGCAGTGTGCTGGTGGTGCTACGCGGTGGTCGGAGGCGTGTGCTGGTGGTTGGCGCACTCGGCCCTACGCGCGTTGGTCGGAGAGCGCGTATAGGTGTATATGGCTGGTGGAAAGGAAAGGAATGAGCCGTCAGCGCTGCGATATAGAGGGAGAAGCTTCTATAGATGGTTTGGGCTCCGAACTGGGTTCGATTCGCCCAACTAATCTCTCGTCGGAGGCGTAGTGAATGGGTGAGAAAGAATGAGGCGCACGCTGGATATAGAGGGAGAAGAGCTTCTAGATGGTTTGGGTCGAACTGGTTCGATTCGGCCCAAATCTTCGATTTTCAACTGGTTTTCGACTTTTTCAATCGGTTTTCGATTTGGTTCATCACAGTATTTACATTAAAATATTAAAATAAATTTCCAAACTGTCGGTTCATTAAATTTAATTGAAAAATGTTTTGAAAATAAAAATTTGGATCATTTCATTTATCTATGCAAGTTTTATTTATTTTCACTGTCAAAAGTTCGCTTACTTTTATTCTCAAAGGTTTCATATCAAATGTATATCAAATACCCATTGCTCGACTTTAATTTACTTCCACTTATGTATTAACTTTTATTTTTATTAATTTTAATTTAATATAAATATTGTTCCATGTGTTATCAATGTTATTCATTATCAATTGTAATTGAATTTTGATAATTCCCAAATTTTACTTTGTATTTATGCATTAAAAATTGTAATTTTAAACCTAATCATCGTTTCATGTATTCAATTTTTAATCTATGTCCACTCACATAAATTATTTATTTTTAATAAAAAATTATTATTTTTATAAGAAAATCATTTATGATTTTTTTTTTTTATTGTTGATTGAATAATTGCTTATTTTATGTTAAAATTAAATTTTATAAATTATTATTTATTTTCTATTTTTGAATTTATTGATATTTTTATTCCAATTTGGTAGAAAAAAAATATGAAATACAATATAAATTTAAATTTTATTAAATATTTTATATTTGGTGGAAGCCCACACATTGCACGGGTTGTTTTATTACTTTATTATTATATATTGTATCAGATGTTATTTTTTTTATTGTACATATAAAAATAAATATTTATAAAATAATCATACAACTTCAAACAAATAAAAAGAAGTAAATAAAAAAATTATAAAAAGATATATATAATATAAAGCCCTAGACAATAAGCATTACTTAAATTGTTTTTATAGAATTATAAATTTGAAAAAGATAGAAAAATTCCATTGATAAATAAACATATATATATGTAAAGCAGATAATTATTATAAATAAATAGACACAAAAAATTAAACAATCCAATCTAAAACTAAAAAATAATAAATATTCAAATCTAAATATAGTTAATTATTTTACATAAATAATAATTTCTAAATATAAAAAGGTATTTTAAATGATCTAATAAAAAAAATAAAAATTCAAAACTGAAATATAGATATAAATTAATTATTATTGTAAATGAATATTAATTTTTAAATATAATTATTAGATATAATGATAATAAAATTTAAATAATAAGAATATCATTTTAACTATGAGGTAGTGTTTTTTAAATAAATAAATAAATATAAATTATACTTATATTTCTCTTTCCAGTATTAGCGAAACTCTTTTAAAACTTAAATACTTAAATCATGCAATATGCTGACTCAACAATTGTAGAATAAAAATATATACAAATAAAGTAATAAGTGAAGAAAACAATCAAAACTTTGAAAAGCAATAAAAAGAATTAGAAAAAAAAATCATTATGGAAGAAAATTATTGAAAATGATTAATATGGAGGTATATATTTAATATGGAGGTATATATATTATATATATATAATAGTAATATTACATTTCTTAAAACTTTTAATTTATATATATATATATATATATATAATATTAACATTTCTTAAAACTTTAATTTCAAAATTCAAAAGAAATTTAAAAGTTTTAAAATTTTTAATTTTAAAATTCAAATGTTTTAAAGTATTAATGTTTTAAAATTAAAATTTTTAAAATTTTTAATTTCAAAATTCAGAAGTTTTAAAAGTTTTAATTTTAAAATTCAAATATTTTAAAATATTAATTATTTAAAATTTTAGATATAGGTATATGTTAGATTAGATATAGAAACATAAATGTTTAAAAATTAATTAAAAAATTAGAAAATTTGTAAAAAAAAAGAAAAAATGGAATGTTGAAAGAATAGGGTACCATGAAAGCTTTTTGAAAATTTTTTTTTCCTTCAGAATAATATATATATATTAGTATTTTTATGACGTGAGTTGCACGCTAACTCTATTCGTTATTCGTACCCATTTAATTTTTTATGTCATCGTTTGCGTTTACTTATTATTTATATTTGCTTTTATTAAATATTCATCATGGTTCTAAGAATCGGGCCAAAATGATCGGTTCAATTGGATTAATTGGGAACCAGACTGTGGTCCGGTTTGGTTTGACTACTTAAAACGGAGATTAAAAAAAAAAAAACTGCATAAAAACCTGTGAGAACTGGTAAATACCAATAAAAAATTGGTGAATCGACCGCTGTTAAGTACAGTTCAACTTCAAAGTCAGAAGAACATTTATATCTGACTTAACGCTATTTTCAGTCGGACCTTTAGATCTGAGTTTTTGGAATGCTATTTTGGTACTTATTGAAGAGGATTCTATGGCGGTGCATTTCTCCGGTGTTACCAAGATCACACACTTGCAGTGTTCCGGCTCCATGAAGAAAGAAAGTGAGAATTTTTAAGGGATGCTCTGAACAAAAGAAGGCGTTCTTTTCAACCTTTTGCTCTGCAATGGATGACGAAATTGGGCAATCGCAAGGAGGAAGATAAGTAGGTCCTTAAACGTCATATTGTGTTATCCAATCATATAAAAGAATGAGTTATTTGAGAAGGAAGAAGAAACTTTTTTCTTTTTTTGAGAGCATGAAGAGCAAAATCGAATTGAAATTTTGAGACACTATGAGAAAGAAAAAGGAAACTGAAAGCAAACTGGGCCTGAAATTTTGTTACCAAATCCTGGTCCTTTATGCATAAGAAAAATATAATTAATGCATTTCAATTGCCTAATTTCATTTAGTTTTGTCTTTAGAATATAAGTACGTTTGGGTGTTGGTACCAAAGCATTAACAAAAGAATTATCATGTGCTATCACTTACATATGATTTTATATAAATTAATCATTAAATTAATATATTTGATTTTACATCCTCCTTTTCATTTAGATGCAGCCTACTTTTTTTTTTTTGGTTTCTCTCAAATTATTATCTTATTTTTTAAAATAAAAAATCTTTTTATTTTTCTATTATGTGCCTCTTTACATTGCAATTTTTTTTTATATTAACCAAACTGATATTTTCAGTAAAATGGATCTGCATTATGGATTAATGATGAACAATATTATATTTTATGATATTAAGTATTTTTTATTTAATATTAGATTTTAGTTATTTTTATTCTTTTTGTAAAGATTATTTAATATTTATACATTCCTATATTTTAATAATATTTTAAAATATATTTGAAAATATAATATATAAAAATTATGATTGAACCGTATTGAACCCAGTTAAACTCTCCAATTAAGTGAATCTCTGGCTTTACCGGTTCAGAGACCAGTCCGATTTTCAGAACATTGGTATTGATTATAATTTTTATCTTATTTTTATAATGTTAGAACAAAATTTCATATGAGATTAATATGAATATAACGGTTAATTAATAAAACAACAGTGTATATATTTATTATTTATCTAAAATTCATTATAACATACTTAATTATTTATATGTATTTATTTAAAAAATAATTTTAATAAATTATATTCAATTAATTAATAAAATTATTATTCAACTAATTAATAAAATATAATTTTCTAACTGGTCTATTACAGATGCTATTTTTTTAGATTATTTAAATTTGCATCAGGTGGCACTTAAAAAAAAACCCATGTTATTCCACTAGGTCTTCACATATATTATATTAGAATAGATATATATATATATATAATATTATATATATTGTAGATCTTATTTTTTGTAATTTTATTTACTATTTATTATTTTTAATTATTTTTTACTGGAAATTAAAATATATATTGTAGATCTATTTTTTGTAATTTTATTTACTATTTATTATTTTTAATTATTTTTTACTGGAAATTAAAATAACAATGAATCATTTTTGATAAATAAAAAATTATAAAGTAAATAACGAGTACCCAACGGGTAAAAAGATTCTTCAATATTAAAATTGTACATTTTATACTTTTGGCGAAATTCAGGAATAAATTATACAAAAAGTTACTTTTTGAGCAAATCGTATGTTATGCTCCAATTCATGGTATAAATTGAGTCTTAGTCCATAATTTTGTAAATTAAAGTACTAACTCCGTTCCATAATATTTGCCATATTTAAAATTTCATATTTTTTAAAAAAAATATTAAATTTGTATAAATTATAATATATTATTGAGTAAATTGACTGTATTACTCTTAATTTAATACTAATTCTCTAATAAAATCATTAAATTAAAGTAATAATTATTGATCATATACGAAGGCTAAATATGAAAAAAATACATTTATCATTTCTTGACACCATAAATATGATAATTATTTTAAAATAAATTATTTTTTAAAATGCGAGAAGTATTGCGGAAAAGTTAAAAGTTTCTAAAATGTGACACCTATTATGCAGAGACACAGTTGTGAAAGTTGAAAGTAAAAATTGAGAGTTCGAAGCATGCATTTGTCCATAGATAGATAAATAGAATTGCAAAGTTGAAACGACCGGCCGTTTTGTCCTCCGACTCGATACTATTTCTCTCTTGCTGGTGGTTAGTAGCTAAGCGTGTTGTGATGCACTGATGCTGGCAGGACCAAGACCCATCAGTCTTCACTGATCTCCATTTCTAGGGTTTTTGTCTTAACTATGATCTCTCCCCACTGAAATGATGTCTCAGATGACAGCTCTCCGTTTTCTGCTTGTGCTCCTTTTTCTTGGTTCCCAAACAGTCCTTTCCTGGAAAAAAGATGAGTTCCGAAATTGCAACCAAACTCCCTTCTGCAAACGCGCCCGCTCCCACAAGCCTGGCTCGTGTTCATTGGTCGCCCATGACGTTGGCATCTCCGATGGTGACCTGATCGCGAAGCTTCTACCGGAATCATCAGATCAAGGCGAGGAAGATAAAATAAAGCCTTTGATTATGTGTCTGTCAATTTACCAAGATGGCATCATGCGTCTCAAAATCGACGAGGACCTCTCAATGGACCCACCCAAAAGGCGCTTCCAAGTCCCAGACGTAATTTTACCGGAATTCGAGAAAAATAAGCTGTGGCTGCAGAGGCTTTCCACGGAAACAATTGACGGCGATGCTAGTCCCTCGTCCGTCGTCTACTTATCAGACGGCTATGAGGCTGTTCTTCGCCATAGTCCATTCGAGGTATATGTCCGTGAGAAGAAATCGAATCATCATCGCGTGGTTTCTTTTAATTCTCATCAATTGTTCGATTTTGAACAACTCAAGCCTAAAAAGGAAGGGGATGATTGGGAGGAAAGATTTAGGGGTCATACAGACAGGAGACCATACGGTCCTCAATCCATTAGTTTTGATGTGTCGTTTTACGGCGCTGATTTTTTGTCTGGGATACCAGAGCACGCCACCAGTCTCGCCTTGAGACCTACCAGAGGTCCCGGAGTCGAATTTTCTGAGCCTTACAGATTGTTTAATTTGGATGTTTTTGAGTACTTACATGAGTCTCCCTTTGGCCTCTATGGCTCAATCCCTTTCATGATTGCCCACGGTAAGACTGGAAAATCCTCTGGATTTTTCTGGTTGAATGCTGCAGAAATGCAGATTGATGTTTTAGGAGATGGATGGGACGCTGAGTCTGGGATTTCGCTGCCTTCTGGGCAGAGCAGAATCGATACATTTTGGATGAGTGAAGCAGGAATTGTTGATACCTTCTTCTTTGTCGGTCAAGGTCCCAAAGATGTTGTTAGCCAATACACTACTGTTACTGGAAAGCCTTCAATGCCACAGTTTTTTGCGACTGCTTATCACCAGTGCAGGTGGAATTACAGGGATGAAGAGGATGTTGAGAATGTGGATTCAAAATTTGATGAATATGATATTCCTTATGATGTTTTATGGCTGGATATTGAACACACAGATGGTAAAAGGTACTTCACATGGGATTCTGTCTTGTTTCCGCATCCAGAGGATATGCAAAGGAAGTTGGCTTCAAAGGGGAGACACATGGTGACTATTGTGGACCCTCATGTTAAACGAGATGATTCCTTCCAGCTGCATAAACAGGCTACAGAGAAGGGGTACTATGTGAAGGATGCTAGTGGAAATGATTATGATGGTTGGTGCTGGCCTGGTTCATCTTCCTACTTGGATATGTTGAATCCAGAGATAAGATCGTGGTGGGCTGACAGGTTCTCCTATAGCAATTACGTTGGTTCCACGGCTTCATTGTATATTTGGAACGATATGAATGAGCCTTCGGTGTTCAATGGCCCAGAGGTATTCTTCTTTCTTAGCCATTATAAGTTTTAGTAACTTAATATATATTTCCACTTAGGTCTTGGATGATAGCGTTGTGCTTACTTTGGGAATACGTGATTGTAGGCCACAAGAAATAACTGGAATACTTGTTAATTGCTTTTAAGAGGACCATGCAGGCTTTCCCCTTCTTAGCAGATAACTCTAATTTCTATTATATGTAAATACCTATTTCTAATTTCTAATTTCTATAACTCCAATTTCTAATTTTTCCTATTTTGTCTCGGCAGTAAGATCCTCATAGAATTTAAGACAGAATAGTTAGCCGAACAATATCTGGGGTTCAGGTACTGCACAAGTACCATTCTAGTTTGTTATTATACATGGTGGAGCTGAAAAACCATAGGGAAGAGGTCCATATGGCTTACTAATCTTAGTAGGCAATTTGCCATCCACCTTAATATTTTCACATTATTTTCTGATGTGACTTAGTGGTGCTACAACTGATCTAAACAAAGAAGTTCAATATTGAAACTGATGCAAGAAATGGTTTGGGAAAATTTTTCTGAAGGACTTGTTTTTGTTGTTTAGTTGTGATATTGAAAGTTAGTGGGGAAATATTTAAATTTTCAATTTGTAAAACTATAGAAATGTTTAGAATTGTAAGAATTTTCTTTTTAATTTTTATGATGAAAAAAGAAATAAAAAATGATAAATGTTCAGCTGTGGCACTCGTTAATGGCACAAGTGATGATGGGTTAACCATTAATGTATGCATATTAATTTGCTTTCTTTTCATTAATATTGAGCTTGCTAAATTTTGGTGAGCAAGAAAATATTATCCGTTGACCGATTTTCTTGAGAGCTTCAAATGGCAAAAAATGTAGAAAATGTTTTTGAGGAAAATAATTTTTTGCAAAACAATTGGAGCCTGAATTGAAAAAGCGTTTATATCTGGATGCTTGTTTAGACAAATTGAAGTTAACTTGGAAAGGCTTAGACACCAACAATGCTAACCCTCTTTTTTTTTTTTTTTTTTTTTTTTTTTTTTTTTTTTTTTTATAATCTGGATGCGGTTTAGGACAATTGAAGTTAAACTGGAAAGGCTTAGACACCAAACAATTCTAACCCTCTTTTTTTTTTTTTTTTATTTTTTTTTTTTTTTTTTTAGATTATCATGGTTGCTGTGTGGCCTAAATCTAATTATTTTTGCTGTTGCACTTCTTGAAATGTCTTACGTTGTCAATCTATGAAGGCTGGGGAGAAACGTCCCATTTTTTTTTTTTTTTTTTTTTTTTTTTTTTTTTTTTTCTATATCATGGTTGCTGGTTGCCTAATTATTATTTTTGGCTGTTGCACTTCTTGAAATGTCTTACTTGTATCTAGAAGGCTGGAACGTCCCATATCTCTCTCTCTCTCTCTCTCTCTCTCTCATGTACCCATGTCTTTGTAAAGTGTCACTTTAACTCTAGATGATATTGAATTCTTGTTGGGGATTTTGGATTTGACTTCCATCACCATTTCAATCCAGAACTTTTATGTAATCTTGTTGGATCCTCTTTGACTTTGGAACTCAGTTTTCGTTGCCTTTGGCAAATGCCTTTTAGTAAAAGCCTCCCAGGTTACATATTCATTAATGGTCTGTTGACCACTTGTTAAAGAGAGCTGTCAAATAGGAAAATTTTAGCTTTCTGTTTTTTAATAGAATAATTATAGAATCTAAATGTTTTATACACAATAAGTACGCATTAAACCTTTAAATTTTATATTATGTAGACATCAGTTCTAATGAGCATAGTGTATGAAACACAAGGGACTAAAGAGCTGTTCCACCCAAATGTTGGAAGTTTAAAGTTATTCAACTTAGTAAGTTTACTATTAGTCGGTTAGTGGAAAGACAAGAGTATAAATTATTTTAAATTTCCAGGACCTAGTAATACACTAATATTAGTTAGGAAACAGAAGACTTTTGAGTTTATATTTTGTCCAAGACCTTAAGGATGCTCTGTATTTACCATTTTGTTACATGGATCGAATATTCACATAAACAAGGGGAAATGAAAAGAGTCCAAAGGAACTAACTATCCATTGTGACCAGGTGACAATGCCAAGAGATGCATTGCATTTTGGTGGTATGGAACATAGGGAGTTGCATAATTCCTATGGTTACTACTTTCACATGGCAACATCTGATGGTCTACTAAGGCGTGGAGATGGGAAGGACAGGCCCTTTGTTTTGTCCAGAGCATTTTTTGCTGGAAGTCAAAGGTATGGAGCTGTTTGGACTGGAGATAATACAGCAGATTGGGATCACTTGAGGGTTTCAGTTCCAATGATTTTGACTCTTGGTCTGACCGGGATGTCATTCTCTGGTAAGTATGATTTCTTTCTTTTGATACTCAAATATTAGTTCCTCATGGTCACAGACGGTTGATAATTTTTATGGCCTATGCCTCCCTTCCAGGTGCGGATGTTGGTGGTTTCTTTGGGAATCCAGAGCCTGAGTTACTAGTTCGTTGGTATCAACTTGGTGCTTACTATCCATTCTTTCGAGCTCATGCACATCAGGACACTAAAAGAAGAGAACCTTGGCTATTTGGGTACATTTTCTTTACAATTTATGTTAATGTATTATAGTTTCTATTTTATATCCTTTTCTCTTTTATTTTTTTGGTGGAATGGTGGCTTTTGGTTTAGTTGGTGCAGTAAACACTTATGAGTGCATTGTTAATATTGCTATTGTGCATTCTTTACTTGTCATTTTAATCTTTTAAGTAATTTCTTCTCAATTTGCATCATTTGTCCCCACAAAAACACACATCACCACAGTGGAAATAATAGTTTTATTTTTTTTTATTCTGATTTGATTCTCAAGTAAGTGTTCACATAAGATGGTTGGATTGAGTGTATGAATATCATATATCAATTGAAGACTTAAAGTGTAATGCTGCTGGATATACTTTTCTTTCCCCCAGGGTATTTTTAAAATGGGCATTATGTTATGGATTGTGTTAAGAACTAGGGTTTGTGATTTCATGCTAAATGTTTGAGGTGGTTTACACATGAATAAGTAAAATTACTTGCGAGCTACTATAGCTCGGTGCGCAAAATATTTGAATTTTACTCGGGATTAATTTGAGCTTCAACTGGAGTAGCTCGAATAATTAGTTGAATTTAGTCTCATTTGAGTTTATTTGAGCTTCATTTTTACATTAATCAATAATTATATTTAACTTTTTAATAATAATTGAATTGAGTCATGTCAAGCATGAGTCAGGTTTTGAAGCTTGAATTTTCTAATTGAGTAAAGCTTGAACACAACAAAGTATTGACTCAATTTGATTACGCTCCTGCGCACATGCACCATTGCATAAGTGAGGATACACAAAGGACAAATTGGTGATCTTTTAAGATATAGTATAATATTGAAGAGCTGGTGTGATTTAGTGATACATGTGATGGAAGACCCAACTGTACTTGCTAAATGAAACTATAACAAAAAGCTAAATGAACTTCGATGCTTGTAATCATCTGTATGCACCAATTATGCTGTTTTAAACATATAATAGCCTAATGAATAAAATTGCCCATGAACTATAGGGTTTTAACCCTATGGCACCCTAAAGTTTTCAAGACAATCATCATATGCCACTGAAGTTGCAGTTTTTGTTATAACTAAGCACCTTCAGGGCCATAAATCAGTCTCTAAAAATTGTTACTAAAAGTTGTGCCTATCAACCCAAAGGTCCAAGGTTGTTACTAAAAAGTATCACTTCATGGGCACATGATGGGTCTTTTGAAAACTTTAGAGTTCCACAAGGATAAAACCCTAAATTTTATGCATTAGGCCAATCTATAATCAACCTTGGAATTAATGTTCTTAAATGATTGCAGGGAACGAAATACAGAGCTTATCAGAGAGGCCATACATATTCGTTACATGTTGCTTCCATATTTCTACTCATTATTCAGAGAAGCAAATGTTAGTGGTATTCCTGTTGTGCGTCCTTTGTGGATGGAGTTCCCTGCTGATGAAGCCACTTTTAACAATGATGAAGCTTTCATGGTGGGAAGCAGTCTTCTGGTGCAAGGGATCTATACCGAGGTGCTACTGTAACCATATGTTTTTTTATTCTAAATTAAGTAATTTTGCCCTTTACTCCTCCCCTTTGGCCTTTAAAATTGAAATATATTATTCCTACCAGCGAGCTAAACATGCATCGGTCTACTTGCCTGGGAAAGAATCTTGGTATGATTTTAGAACTGGAACTCCATTTAAGGGAGGCAAAACCCACAAGCTGGAGGTTTCAGAGGAGAGTATCCCTGCTTTCCAAAGGGCTGGAACTATCATACCAAGGAAAGACCGGTATCGTCGAAGCTCCACACAGATGGTGGATGATCCTTACACACTGGTATGTAATTGACATTTGGTACCTTTTGAATACATGCTCATCTCCCCTGTCCTTCACAACCTAGGTTTAGGCATTCTGCATTCATATACATATTTAAGTCTTAAGCCAGTAAAAAAGTTGTGTTCCTGGGAGATATAATGTCAATTGTTTGATGTCTTTGCAATCACAACTAGTGTTAGCATTCTATGCAATTTTTGTTCTGGATTGCATATCCAGAATCATCAGAATTTCAGCTGTTTAGAATTGTTAAAATCAGTGTTCTGAAACACAAATGATGGAGAGTAGTGAATCAATCAATCGAGCAAGATGATATATATATATATATTTTTTCAATTAAAGCTAATCTATTATTATTTATATGATATTCTGACCTCTGTCCAGTTCCAGTGCAATTATATTTTGGATATATCGAGCAAGATTGGATAATATATATATATATTTTTTCAAATTAAAGCGGTAAATTATTATTACTTTATATGATGATTCTGACCCTCTGTCCAGTTCCAGCTTGTCAATTATATTTTGCGAGGCTATTATTATTATGTGTATATATAATATTATATATATAGATACTACCGTTAATATATATACTATATACTATTAATCTCATGGTACGCATTGGCAATCCTTGTATTATATTTTTGCTTGCCTAGTTCCGCATGAACTGTGATATATATATCTCATGACATTGGCAATCCTTGTAATTATATTTTGCTTGCAGTCCCATGAAGTGATTCAAATGAAGCCTATCTCCACCCCCAACCTTAATCCAGCATACAACATTTTCTAGACAAAGGTTCCACTTTTGTTCTACATGCTCAAGTGATCCATGAGTTAGATAACCTAGTTCACATGTCTGCTAGGATTAATTTTGTACATTTCTCATGAATTTGCTTCCCATAGCTATAGATTACCTGTCTTGTTACATGAACTTTTGTGTTCTAATATAATCTTATGTTGGGAAATAAACAAAAGTATGCACCAGATATTGAATCTGGTTGAGATCAGCACATTGGATATCAAGAAAAACCTCAACGAGTACAGTTTTAAGCACTTACAAAAGTTTGATGTCTGTCTCCTCCTTTTTCTTTTTCCTCCCAATTGTTTAATATCTGTATGAGTTTATACATCATGTAAGCATTATTGTGTAATTTTGGCTAGTTGCAATCTAGTTTCTAGCCTGGGCAAGTTTCCTCTGAGCCTTTATTTTTGCCTTTGGCAATCATCCTGCTGTGGGGTAACTGTTTAAAAGTGTCCAATTTTAGTATTGTTTTCTATTACAGTAGCTTCAATTCTGGAATTACAATGATTTCTCTGAATCGCTTGAGGTGACTCATCTAAGGATCGGTGGTTGGGTTTTTACTGCAGTCTCCTTGACTGAAAATATATATCTTTGAACATATTTTGTTTGTAGGATGAGCAGCCATGGTTCTAACCTATCTTTGTTCGAACAGGTGATAGCTCTAAATAGTTCTCAAGAAGCCGAAGGTGAGCTCTATATTGATGATGGCAAAAGTTTCGAATTTACACAAGGGGCCTACATGCATCGCCGTTTTGTTTTCTCAGATGGGGCACTTACCTCCTCAAACTTGAACAATGGCAAATCTCAGTCTTCCTCAAACTGTGTCGTTGAAAGAATCATACTGCTAGGATGCTCTCCTGGTCCGAAGAGTGCATTAATTGAACCATCAAATCAAAAGGTCGAAATTGAACTTGGTCCACTTAGTTTTCGAGGTGGTGCTCGCGGAGCTTCTATAGTAACTGTACGCAAACCTATGGTCCGAATTGCAGATGATTGGACAATTAAAATTTTTTAAGAAGCGTTCAGGGTCTTAAAATTTTCCCAGTTACTTTTATATTCATAAATTCAGGGTTCATATGGATGCGCTTGGAACTTGCTTTCAAAGCTATTTGTTGATTGCGGAGCATATGAAAGCCCCTTTATTTGGTGAATCTTCTCTGAATTAGTAGTAGTTGAAATTAGACTGATTAAGGTTACATCATAACTGAAATGAATGAAGAGCATTTTGATCTGAATTGCCACAAAGCATGAAAATGAATTTTGTTCTCTGTTTCTTTTTTTTTTTAGCTCTTTTCTATGGACAAAGGTTGGAATGTTAAAATCCAGGATTTTTAGAACCGGGGTTTTAGTGAATATCTGAAAATAGATATTATCTTCTATTGTTTTAAATAAAATAAACAGTCAAATAGTTTTAAACAATGATTTACTAGTGCATAAGGGTGAATTGGATGAATAAAAATATAGTTAATAAATTTAAAAATGGACTATAGTATCTTTAGTTTACTTCAAAATCTTAATTAGCTAAATTAAGAATTTTAATTTAATTAAGAATTTTACTTCAATTAGAAATGTCAATTAGTAACTTATTTTTTTACAGGAATTCCAATCGTTAATATGAGAAAACATTTTAATTAAATTTTCATTATTATAGCCAATATAAGTTATAAATTTATCATGTCAATGCTTATTGTACTTATTTTACACTGCGTGTAATTTAACATGCAAGTTTTTTTTTTTTTTTTTTTTTTTTTTTTTTTTTTTTTTTTTTTTTTTTTTCAACGTTTTTTTTTTTGTTTTTTTTTTTTTTTTTTTTTTTTTTTTTTTTTTTTTTTTTTTTTTTTTTTTTTTTTATTATTGTTTTATTTTTTAAGAAAATTATGAACTACTGGAAATCAGCATACAAAGCATCAAATAGAAAATTAGGAGGGAGAAGATCCCACTCCATTAGACCAGACATATAGCAGGCTTTAGATGCTAAAACATGAGCAACTGATCACTTATCAAAACGCACAGAACTATGAGCTAGTTCTTCAAGTAAAGATTGACAATCTAATAAAACAGTACTAAAATAAGAGTTATCTAAAGAGTTCCTTTACATGGCTTGAACCAGAAATTGGCAGTCATATTCAAAAATAACTTTCTCAATGGCCTATGACTTGACCCAACTCCGGGCTTTTCGAAACGTTAAAGCTTTTGCCAGCAGAGGATCGTAGGGGCTGGGAAGGGAGAGTTGACATGCATGAAGTAGGTGGCTGGCAGCATTTCGTAGACCCAGCCGGCACCCATCTGATTGCTTTGGGGACGCAAAAAAGCGTCAAAGTTACACTTGAGGAAGTCATCAGGAGGGGCGTTCCATCGTGTGGGACCTGGAATAGTTGAGGCTGGGCTTATGGCAGTTTGCAATTGAGCCACACGCCAAGAGTACATCCATCCTACTGCTAAATCGATCCGAGTTTGCACAGGAATGTTAACTTGTTTCCACAGAACCCTATTCCTGTTTTGCCAGATAATCCATAGGAAAGACAAAAAGAGTGCAGGTCAGGCTTCGTCAGAACTCAAACCACATTGAGAAGCCAAGTATTCAGTGTAATCTGTGGATCCAAGTTTGCAATAATCAGGACCCCGTCAACAGTATGAGACCAGCAATCTTTGGCGAAAGGGCAGGTCACCAAAACATGCATTACAGTTTCACCTCATTGTCCACAAACTGGGCAATAGTCATCAACCTGTATCCCACGTGACTGCAGTCTTGATATGATCGGTAAGCTATTTATCCCTATCCTCCATAGCAGATTCTTGATTTTTGGGAGAAGTTTAAGGCCCAAATAGCATACCAGAAGAACCTCATATCATCATCAATTAATACTGGCTCTCCTCTATTTAGAAATCTGCACGCGCTCTCCGCTTTTATCCTCGATCCATAGCCAACTATCTTCATCAGCACCCGATCTCAGGGGGATGGCTAGGATACGTTAAGAGTTATAAGGATCGAACAGGGTGTCAATAATTTCCTACCTCATGCAGAGCAGCTCGCATTCATAAGAGAAAAAACGTAATGATGCTGACAGTCGGGGGGCTTTACAGTATGAACTTCGGAAATGTTGGCATCTCACAACCATGCGTCATCCTAAATAGAAATAGAAGTCCCGTACCCACCTTTCTGATGATCTTCCTCTTGATGAGAGGAATTATGGCGTGATTACTACTCCAAACACTGCTGGGGTTGGATCCCACTGCCGCATCCAATGCCGAGCCCAAAGGGACGTAACGGGCCTTAAATAATTTTGAGACAAGCGACTCTGGAAACATTAACACCAAACCTGTTTTCCTAGGAGGGCCATACTAAATTCATGTAGCTTTCAGAAATTAAGGCCTTCTGATAACTTGGAGCTGCATAAGGTGTCCCATCTCCTCCATATTACCCCGCCACTCTCTTGACTATGACCCCAAAAAAATCTGTTTATCATTCTTTGAATTTCTAAACACAACGTGAGCTTTAGTCTGAATGTTCCCATCATATAAGTAAGAATAGCCTGTAATACTGATTTTATTAAGACCTCATTCCCTGCCCGGGGCAAGAACAACTTCTTCCAACTAGATACTCTTTTCCAGATTTTGTCTTTCACATATGAGAAGATTGCTTTTTATTGCGACCCATTAAGGAGGGATACCCAAATATATACCCAGATCATCAATTTCAGAAACTGAGAAAATATTAGCTATTCCAGCTCTGTAATCCGACTTGGTATTTGCACTGAATTAAAGTGAGGACTTCTGATAGTTTATTACCTGGCCGGAGGCTCTTTCATATTGGGAGAGACATTCTTTCAGTTGCCTCCCTTCATTCTTCTTCGCACTGAAAAATAATAGGCTGTCATCTGTGAAGAAAAGGTGAGACACCTTTGGAGCTCCTGGGATGATGCTACAACCATGAATCAATCTGTCTCTCTCGGTGTAAAATTAAGGAAGATAGTCCCTCTACACATAAAATAACCAAGTATGTGTTGGGTTTGGGTTCCCTTCCTATGTGGTAAAAGCCCATATTTTGAAGTCCACTAACTAATTATTGTTTTACAATTATGCCCCTCAACTAACAGCCCACTAACTAAATTAGTTTGTTTTTACAATTATGCCCCCTCACCCTCAACTAACAGCCATATTCCTAATATTTTTTGGCTCTCATTTGATCGACACACAACCAGAAATCGTGTGAGAAAAACAGAGGAGAGGAGAGGGTTTTTCTACACAGCCCCATCCAGCACCAGCCACCGTGTTCTGGAGATTCCTGGAGTTTCAACCGTTGGATCGTTGTGATTTTTGGATATATTGTTCTTTGCTCTCTGTTCTTGATTCTCACCGTAGGGATTTTCATTTGGAGGTTCAGAGATTGAGTTCTGGGTCTGAATCCGAAGCTGTCATGTTCTGCTTCTAGCTCTGCATAGCTTCATCTTCTTCAGCGTTTTCGGCAGTCATCCTTTATCTTCTGTCGGATGTGAGCTGCATTTTTGGTGAGCTTTTGGCCTAACATCCAACTTCTTGATTCTGGCTGATCAGTTTAATTTTTGGATGAGTAGAACATTTTTAAAATGTATTGCGAACAGCAGCTGTGTTTTGTAGAATCACTCTATTGTGTTCCCACAACATGTTATTTGTGCGTTGTTTGTGGTATAAAAACTACATAATTTGTATGGGATGAGTAGAACATTTTTAAATGTATTGAGAACAGCAGCTGTGTTTTGTGATCACTCTATTGTGTTCCCACACATTTATTTGTGGTTGTTTGTGGTATAACTACATATTTTGATGGTTGTAGCTTGCTGTAAGTTGTAAGACAATATTTGTGAGAGTGAACTTTATTTCCTTGGACCGGAGGAGAGGTCCCGTGGTTTTTATCCTTCACACCGGAGGAGTTTTCCACGTAAAAAGATTTGTGTTCATGTGATGAATGTTATTTTTGATTGTGTATGATTTGGAACAGCTTGTGTTGCTTGAATTTGTTGCTCATTGTTACTCCTAATAGATTCATTCAAGTGGGGAAGTTTTTATTGTGAGGTCAGATTTTGTGTTACTTCCCATCAGTATGGGGATAGATGACACCCTTGCCGCAGACCCCTAGCCAAAAAATAGGTCCTAATTCCTTCCTTTCATGCAAAACAGTATAGCCAACCGAAGAAACACAAAACATGACAAGGTTAATCAAGCGTGAACAGAACCCCATTTTTTCCAGGATCCCTTGAAGGTATGCCCATTCAATATGGTCATATGCCTTGCTCATATCGATTTTAGTTGCCACAATTCCTATAGCTCCTTGCCTCTTCCGTTTCAAATAATGGAGAATCTCATGGGCAACCATGATATTCTCCGAAATTAATCTCCCTGGAACGAATGCACTCTGAGATGGAGAAATCAAGTGAGATAAAACATACTTTATTCTGTTAGCCAGTACTTCCGACAGAATTTTATACAGCACGTTGCATAAGGATATAGGCCTGTAGTCTGCCATTGTCAAGTGGTCCTTTTCGGGGATCAACACAATGTGGGTAAGGTTAGGAGTGAGGGGAAGTAACCAGTGTTCAGAAAAGCCAAACAAGCTGCAGCGACATCAGCGCCGATAATTGACCAGAAATGTTGAAAAAAAGAAAGCAAGATTCATGCCGTCTGGCACCGGGGACTTATCCGGATGCATGGAAAAAATAGCTTCTTTTATCTCCTTCAGTGAATAGTCTCTCATGGGTTCCCTATTTTGATCATCCGCAACAGATTTCTCCAGGCATTCAAAAATCGGATCTCCTTCACAACCTGTGGATTCGAATAGTTCGCTAAAATAATTCATAATAATTTCTTCCAGCCCCGCATCCGGTTCCCGTCAAACACCAGACGAATCTCATAGCCGTGTCAATGAATTTTTATTTTTCCTGGGTGAGGCTTGGGAATGAAAGAACTTCGAATTTGAATCCCCTCCGTTAAGCCAAAACTATTTGACCCTCTGTTTCCAAAAAGACTCCATGGCGTCAAGAACATTCTTCATACTTTTTAGAGATCTCCTCATCCTGTCGGATCAAGAGTGCATCCCGTTTAGACCGTAAAGATGCAAGTTGCTTTTTGAGCTTGTTCAACTGCTGTCGACGGGCCTTAATTATGCTACCACCCCATTTAGCTAGAGCCTCTCCACATTCAGCTAATTTACTCATGATTGAATCTGATGACGCCAATCTCCAGCTCCTCTCCACCATTGATCTACACTCGGGATCC